CGAGGACTGCCATCTCCGCTTCAAAGGCGGCCCATTCCGCCTCGTCGACGGCGCCTGATGAGGCTTGTGCTGTTGTAGTGGTGGCATCATTGCTAGTAGGTGGTGCCTGCATAGAATTTTGTGCTGATGTGATAGGTATTTCAGTGGATATGGGTATTGATGTCGCTGCTTTCAGTTGTGATAGTGCCGCTGTTGAGGCTCCAGGGGTGGATGTCGCGTCTGCACCGAATAGGACTGCGCGGCCCATTGACGTCGCCTTTGGTGTTGAAACGGTAGAATTGGTACCGGCGAGAGGTGTTGCAGGCCGGGACGGTATGGCAATCTCAACGCCGTGCACGGGTGTTCCTGAGGTTCTGCGTGCCAAGCCCGGGGGCGTGCCCGTCTTCTCTTTGTCCTTCTCCTTATAGCCTTCTCCCGTGCCGTTCGAAGTGAGATCGGTTCTACTGCGTTTCGAGCGTATCGTGTCGGGATCCTCGTCATCGTCTGACATGACCTCGTCCGCGTCTTCGCCTCGTTTCCGCTTGTTCGTGCTCTCATCCGCCGCGTCTTGAGTTGGAGGGCTCGACTGTTTTTGCAGCGCTTGGAGCCTTTGTCTATGGCTTTGGCTACGGATATGTGTATTCCATAAGGACTCTGTCTTGACTACATCTTGACATAGCTTGCAGAGCAGTTTCCCGGCATCTGAGTAGGTAGCATGAGGATGTTTGATGCGGTTCTCAGCCCGATGGGCGCGTAGGAGAGCACGGGCGTCCGCCATTGCGGATGGAATGCTGAAGGATAAGATGCGTTGCTGGTGGGACGCGGTTTTCCAACTTTGAAGCCCAATGTCGGAGCGGATAGGAATACACGAGAGCTGAGTTGCGGTTATTATTCTGGAGATTTAATTGTAATGGTTATGACGAAGGCGGTGGAATAATTGCAGTAGGTATTGTATTAGGTAAAGCTGAGGCACGTCTGCCGTCAGCCACAATTGCTCCTAGGTAGGTTGACCTGGGGATTGGAGAAGAGCCCCGCTAGGAAGGGATCTCCACAAGGAAACCTCGGCGCGAACTAGGTACGGGACAATCCTCCGCGACACTCCCCTGCCGGCTTATTGACATTCCAACATTTCAATCTGGACGCCGTCGGTCATGGCGCAAGACCGGCGATCTACCTAGTGTACTTCTTTCAGCTCCAAATACAACCCGGTTGTAACAATTGACTATTTCGAACGTTTATCAACCATATTACCATGGACGAAGAACAGCAACAGACAGCCGCCACTTGGCCACCGCCGCCTCCATTCTGGAAAGCCTTCACCCCGGATAACATTGCGCGAATCGAAGAGCTACGCAAAGAAACAGCCGAGCGCTCAGGCGCACAAGATACTTCAAATATCCGTATAGACAGCCTACCTCGCGAATTGCGCAATCTACAGCCTCCACCCGAACCCGAAGATGGAGAGTGGCGAGTCTTCGGCGACAAATACGCCCTGAAAGACGAACTCCCACAGCTCGAGGATGGCGAGATTCGCAGGCTGTTTCCGAACCCCGACGAGAGGGATCAGGATGGCAAGCATTTTGACCGCGCCACCATCCTCAAGCGATTGGCCAAGTCGCTATTACTCAACTTTCTCGAGCTCACAGGCCTACTAGCCACCAGCCCCGAGGCGGTATGTCGCCAACGAGTCTTTTTCAATTATGAAGTAATGTGTTCATTCAACTAACGTATAACAACAACAGGCAGAGGACAAGGTCACAGACGTCCGAGATCTCTTTATTAATTTTCACCACCTCATCAACGAATATCGCCCTCACCAAGCCCGCGAATCCCTTATTGCCTTAATGCAGTCGCAATTGGACAGGACACGCGCCGAGACAAATGCTATTCGCGATGCGAAAGACCATGCCGAGCGCGTGCTCGAAGGGCTGGGTAGCATAACGATCGAGGAACCGCCTAGCTACAAGACCATCGACAATGGGGACCCATTTGATCCCGACATGAAGGCTTGGAGTATACTGGCGGATTAGTAAATATGAAAGAGAGAAAAGACTCTTCATCAAAATTGTTTGGACAAAAAACATTTTTAAGGCGTTTTTGGTACATCTGATATACTGGTTGATTTGGAATAATTTGGCGCATGGCATAGGGAAAGCAAAGGTTTATGATACCCTTTAGACGTAAAATTGGTTGGAAGCAGAAAGTGAAGGCGCAATACATTGTGATGCAAAGGTGTCTTTGTGCATCGAATCTGCTACCAGAAGAGCACGTAATTCCCCTTAAAGTCGTCCCTAGCTGTGAACTCTTGAGCCCACCCTCTTCCCGAAGAGAAAACCCGGATGTTTCTAGCTTCCCTGGCCTTTCGTGTCAAAGTTCTCCATCCGCGTTTCTTCGTAACTAACAAGATCCAAGCATCCCTTCCGCGACAAATGTTTGGTTTTTCGTGTCACATCACGGTGCAAGGAATAGGGATGCAGCAGCAATCAAAGCCGTCGCATTCAATGCATCGCGTCTTGCCCGTCGCATCGGCCGGTTTGACGATGCTCTCGAACGTCGACGACGCCGCGCTACCGGGTCCGTTGCGGTTGACGAGGGTTGAAGAGCCGCAAGCCATTTTCTTTCTTTACTTCCGCTCTTAAACTTTATTGTTGATGTCAATTGAAGACAGAATCTGTCGCTTTTCGAGTGTTAAGTGTCAGAGTTGTTCTTTATGGCATTCATCATCTGGGTCGAGGGAGGGCATTTGTGTTTACTTACAAAGTAGGATGAAGTAAGCAACTCCGACAAATGTATTCTCTCCCTTTCTTGATGGCAAAAGCGGACTGTTCTAATAAATAGACACTGAAGTTTGATGGAAAAGATTATAAGGAGCGCGCCCCTGATGTGTTTCAGAAGATACACGTATAGACGGAGATCACATGTGCCATTGGCAACACGTCGTCTACTGCTGACTCATCATGACGTTGCCGTAAGTTTGCCGGATGAGGCTATATCCACCCATGTCACTATGTGACCAGCCAGATCCCTGGCATCTCCTTTGAGTTTATGCTATAGCTGTTATTAGTGATATAGGGCCCTAATTACTTATGTACTGCAAAATAAGTAGTAGTGTGATTAGAAGTCATTCCTGGAGTTTCTGAGTCTTAGTTCTCCTGTAAGGACGTTTTCAGTCGTCTCAATGTCTAACATTCAGGAGAAATAATGGCTGAGAATAAACTACAGGCAGGGATTAACGTTGTCGTCGTTGTACGAAGGATCCCTGAATATACTCGTTAGCTAGCAATGCCTGTATAATTGCTGTGCTATTTGTTTCACAGACCAATAGCCTTGGTCGTACAGCCTGCCGAACCTGAATCGGGCTGAACAGCCACGTGAATCAAGAATTGAAGTCCTTTTTAAGGTAACTGACGAAAGAATACAATCGGTGTCGCCCGTAAGGGATACTTTAGTACATGTTCATGGCATAGATCAGATCAGGGGTTCATGATCGGTGCCAAGGATGAGTAGGTGGGAAGCTAACTGCGCCCTATCTTGATCAGCTTACGTATTCTGCCCATGATCGTGAAAAGGTATGGCTTATTTGCTATGCTTGGAAATTTTGTTCTATACACTTCACTATAAGTTCACTATTGCTGCTGCCTTCGTGTTCAAAACTCGGTCTCCATATTAATATACTAGCATTTTTGTCTAGTTGCCAAGTTAGTCACGTCAGAACCATGAAGTTTGATTAACATTTCCATGTTTAGATAAGGGTTGAACTTTATTCGAAACAGGTAAATAGCTATCTTGCCAGTGTTCGAGGTGTAATAGATAACGCTGGCTTTAATATTCTCGGATCTCCCTTTGTCTGACCAACATTTTCCTAGTAATTAGTTAATAATTCTCACAATTCATCGCACACCTCAAGGTGGCTTTGCGACATACTTGTCATTAAGTGCCAACATCGACATAACATTACCTAATTTAGCTGCAAATCAGCTCCATACCACACACTCACAGCCTAATTGTACGAAAGTCTACCCAGTCACTTTTCGATACAAATAGCCATCGTTAGGCCAACAGCTGTCACTGGCCCTTACCCCTTGCTGGTCACCAAGCACAATGTCAAGCCTAGACAAATCAGCACACGCCACTTCAGTGTGCATCGCAAGAAGCCGCGCGACTCTACAACTACAGAAAATTTGGAAAAGATTTGGGGGTTGGAAGAAATTGCTGCGCAGGATAGGACAGAAGCACGACATGCACAAAGCTAAGGCCGACAGCATCCTCTACTGCGCAGGAATCAACTGGAGCTCTTAGGCCGACCTACTACAGCTCTTAAAACTACTAGAGCTCTTTGACAAGCCCGCCATCGTAGATATGGAGTAAGAGATGAAGGCGATGGATAGTCGTGGACTGAAATTTATCACCTGCGGTTGTCTTGGGGCTGACCTTACGGATGAGGCGTGGAGAGAGAGAGGACTTGTTAGCAGAGAGACAACGTTGATAAGAAAGACGGCGCGAATGCAACCAACTTCGCGATTATGCTAAGTTGCTTGCGATTCAATCGTCATTGTCAGGATATTACGACTGGACTAGAGATTACTGGTTAGAGGGAATGAGGACACACACAGCCTTGATGATAGATACAGACAGAGGGAGGCGGTCAACTTTAAAGAACTTCGGGATCTTAATAAAACTGGAGAATGGGCATAAGAGATCAATCAATCAATCAGGAAGGAAGGTCTGCATGCAGATGGAGTTTGTTAGACATAAGTAGTTGTTGCCTTTCTTACTTTGAAGGGTAGTCGACCATCAACATACACCTCTCTCTCTCTCTCTTAGTCTACTGAACATCTTCATTCAGACTTGTCAAAAAATACCAGGAGGCATGGAGAAGAAAAAGGGAAAGAGGATTTGATAAATAGAGCAAAAAACATATTTCTCTATTGAAGAAATCGTGCGACCACGCTCATCATCCTGACCTGATCGGACTGGCGAGAATGACGGGGTGGTGCGCGTTTCTTTCAGTAGCGACAAAACTCTCGATCGGGGAATCGAACCCCGGCCACCTGCGAGTTGCTCGGAACTCAGTCACTCGGGACTGCAGTGCCCCACCAAGCAGGTGGGACTAACCGTTAATGACAAGCAGGTATCCTGACCACTAGACCAATCGAGACATCTTTTACAGGGATAATTGATTGCGCTGTCGTATAAAAAGGTTCATATTCAAGACACACAAAGCCTGGAGGGCCCATTCATCCTGGCCAACAAGTAGAATGAATATACTTCGTACAGAGTAGTATTATCTCGTAAATCAAACTAGGCGAAGTCTACCAGAGATGTTTAGTATCAAGTAGACACACATCGTTAATCCGTGGGTTTCTCATACATCCTTTTCGTCTTACATCTAGACGAGATAATACCATGATATCGAAAGAGTGTTGTAAGTACTCTGGAATTACGAACCTCTGCTTTTACCTGCTTCTGGTACGCTTCGAGATACACGAGGTCTCTCTCAAATTCTATTCGTAGCTACACTTTGGCGGACTCATCTGAAAAGAGCAAGCGAAAAGACATCTGGTTTGGTGAGGTAGTGGTTGGGATCACGTGGGGCCATAGAGTAGAGAGGGTGTCAGTTAAGTGTAGATGTTCTTGAACTTGTAAGCTGCGTCTCTCGTGTACTTATTGCGGGCTATTTAATGACCGAGATCGGGCGGGGTTATATTGCGGGGAGGTACAGCAGGTATGTTGTCATGGACTATCGTCCATACGCGCGTTTACATGACTCATAGTATGTACTTATGCGTATACATTCTCCTCGATATACATATGCTTAGTTATCTACAGCGTCCACTAGACGAATCCTAAGTTACAATGAACAACAGACATTGGTGCCTGAAACCGTCGTAAAAGGAATATAGTAACCAGCCTTAAGATATCGTAAACGAACTTCATTCATCATGGTTCTTGAGATTGAGCCTAGAAATTGGTACCGTGACGAGTTCCTCATATCGACGGAGCACCGCCTTCTCCAGGTCGATGCGGTCCGCTCAGCGATGAGCCCAGAGCTCATGTGGTGGGCACAAGCACCACCAACAGATACTTTGCAGAAGGCTCTGAATAACTCGCTGTGTTTCGGGTTGTACGAGCTTCCTCAATCCACCTCGCAGATCGCAGGTACGCTCATTCTTCCCTAGTTCTTCATCCTAGCACTCCACACTCAGCTTACATTCACAATCCCAGGCAAGGATGGCCCGAAGCAGATCGGGTTGATGAGGGTCATCACAGACGACGTGACCTTCGCCTACCTCACTGATGTATATGTTTTACCAGAGTATCAGGGCAAGGGGTTGGGACGTTGGATGTTGGCATGTCTGGAAGAAGTTATCCAAAGTTGGCCGCATCTGCGCCGCTTGATGTTCGTGACCTCGCCTGGCACAATTGACTTTTATAAGAAGACTATTGGCGCGAAGAATTGGAGCGAGCATAATGAGGGCAAGCTGGTTATAGGGGCTGTTGATGGGCCGGCTATTCCGCATAAACAGCACGAATAGAGTACTGAGTGCTAAGAGGTTCACACCTTGGAGCCAGTCTTTCCATACGCGCCCCCGTGGGCTCGTCGCAGCTCTATTGCGCGCTTGTAGGGAGGTGCGGTGGGCGGTTGTATAGGATCAAGTGCTACGTGGTCTGGAGGGAGGCGGTAAGAAGCATCTGAATCGAACGCAGATAGATCGCCGCATGCAATGAAAGGTGCAATCCACCTGATATCTGTCTCCTTTTGCTGGCGATGGTCCTCTGGTTCAACTTCGGTGATACCGTGCTCATCAGTGACTTCGATGTAATGAGGGGCAGTATCCCAAGCCCCCGTTGTCTGGTTTTGCATTGTAGTCGGCGCGGTGATAGGAAGGCTCCTCAAATTCTGCTCGGTCATCTTATTCAGCCGGAATCCAACCCCTAAGGGCTCCTCGAGACTTGCAGAGAATCCTTTCGGGGGTTGGAAGTTTAGACACACTATGAACGCCTCAACACTACTCGCCCGTGACGACCTAGGCTTGGCGACATGGACTTGCTCAAAGAATATCTTGAGTTGAGCATATAGCACATCGACATTCTTGCCCCTAAATATCTTAGCCACGAACTTGCCGCCTGGTTTGAGAACGCAGAGAGCCAGATTTAACGCAGCGAAGAGAAGCTGCGACTGCACATAGATGTCGAGATCGTGTAATCCGGTGACATCAGGGGCGCCATCGCTAAGCACCAAGTCAACGGGATGAGCGGCCTGCTGCGACATGGTCTTTGCATCGTAGTCAGGATCCAGGGCCTTCAGCAGCAGCGGCACTGTCGCAGGATGGGTGATGTCGGCCCTGAGCGTGATGATGCCGGGCAGGGGACTGATTGGCTGCAGGTCAATGGAAACAATCTTGACATTTTCCCGCGGCTTCGGCTCTTCAGTGCCAGGTTCGATCTCCGTGACCGACGACACGACGGGAGGCTTAGCCGAGCCGAAGACTCCAAGCATCTGCTGGCGGAACTTGGCCTCCCGGTCCTCCCATGCTGTGCGGCCGAATTTCTCACCCTTGATCAGGACCCTGGAAAGCACCTGAGACCAACTACCGGGCGCGGCGCACAGATCAACCACTCGCGTCACATTGGCGAACAAGTTAAATTCTATGTATTCAGTCAGTCTCGGGGTTCTATTTTGAATTCGACAACATTTTTATTTTGGCGGGGGAGGGGTAAAACAACCTTCATCGAGCTGTAGGAGCTTGAAAGCACTTCTTGCTCGCCAGCCCTGCTCTTTCGCGAGTCTGTAATATGCATCCCGCTTGTCTTTAGATGATTTTCCCATTTTGAATATCTCTCGGCTTAAAATAAAATCTCGCCATTGAGATAGGTGAAGCCGAAGAGGGGACAATTAAGTGAGAAGAGAGGTGCACTGAATTTTCGACGAGCGAATCAAAATGCTTTGCCTTAGTGGGCTAGTTTAGCTGTGCTAGACCTAGCCAGGGTGCAATTGTAGCGTAGCAGTAGGTAGGTCAAGGCGCTAATGCGCCATGGTGGGGTTGCAAGGGTCTTCCCGATAATGGACCTGGCCTGAAATCTGAATTTTTGAAGACTTTCGCGCTCCCTCTACAACAATACGAACAGGACCTACTGATCGACCGCTTATGACCACGCAATTCTCTCAAAATGAACGGGGCCAAGAAGAGAAAGCTGGCAGCTGGAGGCGCCTCATCATCGGCAAAAAGAACAAAAACCGCCTCTCACACCCAAAAATCTAAAAAACGAACTAAACGATCAGTCGGCATCAATTCCCTACCATGGAGCAAGGCCACGCTCCCCGATATGTTCGATGATGCCGAGGGATTCTTTGGACTAGAAGAAGTAGAAGGTGTCGAGGTCGTGAAAGGCGAGGGCAACATTGTCGAGTTTGTAGGTTAATACTGTCTTCCATCGCCTCTTCTCGTATTAACAGTGGTTTTTCAGAGAGCGGTTGTGCCAAGCGACGATGAGACTGAAGGAGCCGAAGGAGCCAATGAGGTGGACGAGCCTGAGAGCGATGATTTCGAGGGATTTAACGACGAGCCATCTACCATGGCTGAATCAGACAATACTGCCTCTCAAAAGATACCCGAAGCTAAAACGGTCGATTCCGCGTCGAAAATAGAACCTGAAAAGCCCAAAAAGGAACCAAAGAAGAAACAGAACAAGAAATTAAACACGAAAGAGGATAGCGCATTAGAAACCAATGTGTTCGCCGGATTAGATGCAGTGGATGAATCTCAAGACGACATCGACTTATCTGAGTGGGTAAAATTAGATATTTCTGCCGGAATTCTCTCCTCGTTGGCCAAGCTGAAGTTCTCCAAACCAACGGCGATTCAGGCCGCAGCTATACCACATATTTTGGCCGGCCACGATGTGATAGGGAAAGCTTCCACCGGTTCTGGTAAGACCTTGGCGTTCGGAATACCAATAGTCGAGAAATGGCTAGAGCTGGCAGAGGAAGATAATGCCGAAACGGCCACCAAAACCCCTTTGGCTTTGATTCTCTCACCTACCAGAGAACTTGCCCATCAGCTCACAGATCATATAAAGAATCTTTGTAACGGCCTGCCGAACTCTCCGTACATATGCTCTATCACCGGAGGACTTTCCGTGCAAAAGCAGCAACGCCAATTGGCTAAAGCTGATATTGTTATCGGAACACCTGGGCGATTATGGGAGGTGTTGAGCTCGAGCGCTGAGACTATGCGCTCATTTAGGGGAATAAGTTACCTAGTGGTGGATGAAGCGGATAGGCTTTTGACGGAGGGCCATTTCAAGGAGGCCAAGGATATCCTGACCGCTTTAGATCGAGTGGAGGTGGATGAGGAGGATGAAGAAGAGGCTGAACCGTCTCCCAGGCAGACCCTCGTCTTTTCAGCGACATTCCACAAAGGTCTTCAGCAGAAGCTTGCTGGTAAAGGAAAATCCAATCTGATGAGCGAGGAGGATTCAATGGAGTATCTACTGAAGAAATTGAATTTCCGTGAGGAGAAGCCGAAGTTTATCGATGTCAACCCTGTATCCCAGATGGCTGAGGGACTTAAGGAGGGGTTGGTAGAATGCGGTGCGATGGAAAAGGTGAGTACAACACAAGCAGTGAGCTGTAACCGTGCTAATGAAGGCAGGATCTATATCTCTACGCCTTATTACTATTATACCCCAATGTGCGCACACTGGTGTTTACCAATTCTATCAGCGCGGCGCGACGCATCTCCCCAATGCTACAGAACTTAAATCTAACTTCACACGCATTACATTCACAAATGGCGCAGAAAGCGCGCTTACGGTCCATTGAACGCTTCACTAGTACACCTGCTGGCCAATGTTCTGTTTTGATTGCCACAGATGTTGCTGCTCGTGGTCTCGACATACCTAACGTTGACCTCGTCGTGCACTATCACGTGCCCCGCGACGCTGCAGCGTACGTACACCGATCAGGACGTACGGCACGTGCAGCCAAAACAGGTCTAAGCATCCTGCTCTGCGCCCCCGAAGAAGTAATACCCACGCGACGGCTCATTGCCAAGGTGCATTCAGAACGAAAAGTCTCGCGGAAGAACTTCTTCGTGCAGACGCTAGATATGGACCGGAAACTAGTTGGTCGTCTAAAACCACGCCTCACGTTGG